ACAGGCATAAGTCCTGATGTGTTAGCCTATAGACCCCTGCAGATGTTTTGTTTGATTTCCAGTGCCTGTTTGCAGTGGGAAAAGATTTGCTTCTTGAGGGAGTCAGCTGGTATGTGGATGGGTGATGCCTGAGCCAACTTAAGCATCAGTCTCCTTGGATTTGATCTTGATTTTACCTCACTGTATTTGTAACTTTCTTGTCTTCCCTGACTCCCAGGTGGCTGAGTAAGCTGATTTGGCTAATATCAACATTAATGTCTTAGAAGAGAAAGGGAATCCTAGAACAGAAGATAAATCTCACGTTGTTGGAAAGCTTGCTTTATCTAGGAAAAGGTCTTCCTGGAGTTCTGATTAACATTTACTGAAGTCAGGCACGTTGGCTCAAGCCTGTAATCATAGCTACTCTGGAGGCTGACATCTGAGGATCGAGGTTCAAAGCAAGCCCAAGCAGGAAAGTCTGTGAGATTCTTATCTTCAATAAACTACTCAGAAAACCTGAAGTGGTGCTGTGGCTCAAGTGGTAGAGCTCTTGCCTTGAGCTGGAACTGAAGGATAGCACCCAGGCCCAGAGTTCAAGCCCCACAACTCACACACACACAAAGTTAAGATATAAATAATTGTTAAAGATGGGGCATTGGTGGCTCTAACCTGTAATCCTAGATACTCAGGAGGCTGAGAACTAGAATCACAGTTCAATGACAGCCTGGGCAGGAAAGTCCATGAGACTCTTGTCTCCAATTAGTCACAGAAAAAAGCCAGAAGTGCCCTGTGGCTTAAGTGGTAGAGTGCTTGCCTTGAGCAAAAGGAGCCCAGGGACAGTGCCCAGGCCCAGAGTTCAAGCCCCAGGTCACCAAAGAGAAAAAATAAAAAGAAAGAAGGATGAAAGGAACGAGGGAAGGAGAGAGGGAGGGAAGGAGGGAAGGAGGGAAGGAGGGAAGGAGGGAGGGAGGGAGGGAGGGAGGGAAGGAAGGAAGGAGAGAGAGAGGGAGGGAGGGAGGGAGGGAGGGAAGGAGGGAGGGAGGAAGGGAGGGAGAGAAGGAAGGAAGGAAGGAGAGAGGGAGGGAGGGAGAGAGGGAGGGAGGGAGGGAGGGAAGGAGGGAAGGGAAGGGAGAAGGGCGGGGAGTGCAAAGGAGGGAGGGGGAGTAGAAAGGAGGGTAGGAGAGGGGGAGAAGAGTTGGAGGGAAGGGGGAGAAGGCATTGAAAGGGAAGGGCAGCTTCTGAACAAATGAACTTAAGAGACAGAAGCAGTTTAGGTTGTACCTCTGATGACATTACTAGCTCTACAATGAGAAGTGATCAAAGTTGAAAAAGAAATGACATGTAAGGTATCAGGTAGTGATCCAGCTCCAAAAGTTCCAAGCCTTTCCTCACCTATATCACTTTCTCTCACAGAAATCATGGGGCATAAACTCATTCTAACATTGAGCCATGAAGTAGCAGTAAAACCCATATTATGGGCTGGGAAGGTGGCTCAGTGGTAGAGCGCTTGCCTTGCATGCCTGAGGCCCTGGGTTCAATTCCTCAGTACCACATAAGCAAAAAGAAAAAAGCCGGAAGTGGCGCTATGGCTCAAGTGGTAGAGCGCCAGCCTTGAGCTGAAGAGCTGAGGGACAGCGCTCAGACCCAGAGTTCAGGCCCCACGACCGGACCCCAAAAAAAAAAAAAAAACCAGATTGTGCACTCATTATCAGAGTTTCAAGCTGTTTCTACATCTCCTTTTCAATCCCTCCTCCTCCTCCTCCTCCTCTTCCTCCTCCTCCTCCTCCTCCTCTTCCTCTCCTCCCTCTTCCTCCTTCTTTTTAGTGCCAGTCCTGGGGCTTGAACTCAGGGCCTGGGAACTGAACTCAGGGCCTGGGAATTGTTTCTGAGCTTTTTTTGCTCAAGGCTAGTGCTCAACCACTTAAGACACATATGACATGTTCTCTTCTATGTAAATAAATCAAACTGCTAGCAAATATTAACATGATAATGTTTCTATGATACTTCAGGTTGATAAGCAAAATGTATTCTACATTCCATGACAGTGTTTATCCAAAGGACTATATTCAGGCTGAGGGAGTAGAATGTTTGCCTAGAGTCCATAAGGTGCTGGGTTTCATCCCAGCATTGCAAAACCAAACCAAACTCTAATCCATCATAATTCACTGTGGCTCAGTCATCTCAAAGTAGCCAGAATGTTACAAATGGCACTGGAAAATAAATGTGAGATACTGTCTTTGGGCTTAATGATGTCCCCAAGTATTTTATTTTCTAGTGATGAAAATATGCAACAGCTTCGCTTTGCTTTTCAGTCATAAATGCATCAGTCAATTGCGTTGGCTATATTACTTTGTGAAAAGACCAGGGCAAAAACCGTTATCGAAGGCACTTGCATTCTAAGTACACTTTTCATCATGTTTTAAGTGCATCAAACATTTTTAAAGTATGTTCGATTGTTTTAAAATAGCAATTTAAAATTGTTTAATTTTGACATCAAGTAACCCATGCCATGAACAATACTCAGTTTTTACTTTATATAAGTAAAATGGCATTGAAAATAGAGAACTGTAACCTCCAATTCCCTAGAGAATGTGGGTTGTAATAGAGGTAAAGAGTCGCTAGGTGGCTCTGCCCTTTTTAAATAAAACTAAAGGCAGCCAAAGATGAAAGAAATATGGTTAAAGGAACAAACTATCCCTACTCGATAAAACTTTAAATCAAAATAACAAATCATTATCTGCAACCCTGGACTCTAACTCAAAAAAATTGGAGTTACTGGTTTAAGAATTAGCACCTAAAGAAAAATTGTAAACTTATAAAGTATGTCCAGAAGGTAATTGGCAAAGGGATGAAGAAAGTATAATCTTAATAATGTCAATTACTATGGAGAAGATAGCCTCAAAGTTGTGTTGCTGTTTTGTAATTTATTACCGTCTAGGTGTCCAACTTTTCTTTGGGATTTATTTTTTTTTTTAGCTTAGACTTTTATATTTACAAACAAATATTAAATTTTGACATTATAATACTAAAAGTTACTTTCTGGTTTCCTGGATCAAAGTTGTCCTTACTAACACCCCAGTAGAAATCTCAAAACAAAACCAGAAAACTTTTTAGGCCTTTTGGGAAGGGAGTTGGGAAGCAGTGTTTACCTAAATTAAGAATAGACAAGATTCCTTTTTTTTTTTTGGGTCCAGTTGTGGGGCCTAAACTCTGGGCCTGGGCACTGTCCCTCAGCTCTTCAGCTCAAGGCTAGCACTCTACCACTTGAGCCACAGCGCCACTTCTGGCTTTTTTCTTTTTGCTTATGTGGTGCTGAGGAATCGAACCCAGGGCCTCAGGCATGCAAGGCAAGCGCTCAACCACTGAGCCACCTTCCCAGCCCCAAGAATAGACAAGATTCCTTAAACAAAATATGATCAAGACAAACATGATTCATTTTTTCAGCCTTTTCCAGAAATAGAGTGCATCTCCTTCCTGGGGGAGGGGGGGAGGACCAAATACTTAACATTGGAACAAAGGTCTACATTTTACATACCCATTTTTACTAGCTAAAATTATTTTTAAAGAGGTGAGTTGTTAAAGTACTTAATACCAAGAAAATAAATCCCTCATGGAATTTGTTTCCAAATTATTAAATATTTTAACTGTCAATCTTCAATCAACAAATAGATGCTTTTAAAGAACCTTTTTCTCCCCCCTTCCCCCCCATCGTAATGAGAACTTTAGACTTGCCACTTTTAAAGAACATGTTTATGAACGCTTTCCATTGTGAAAGTGCAGGTTTTCTTATTGCTGTTACCATGCTTTAAATCACAATTGCATGGTTTTACTGGTTTTGTTGGTTGGTTGGTTTTTCCAGGTGGGGAGCCAAATTAAAAGTGGGGGGGGGGAACAACATTTAAAAAGTTGAAAGCAAATTTCCCTCCCTCCCTCCCTCCCCCCTCTCTCTCCCTCTCCCCTCTCTTCTCTCTCTCCCCTCTTCTCTTCTCTTCTCCCCTCCCTCTCTCTCTCTTCCTCCCTCCCTCCCTCCACAAACACACACTGCAGAGCAGTTTAAATAATCTTAAACTTTCAACTTTAAAATGCTAATTCCAAAGCCGTTTACTTAAATGTCTTTGAAAGGGTCCAATTTACAAAAGACAGCAAAACCTCACCAAAAGTCCGAGCAGACCGACCTTCAAACGAACCGGTGCTTTTCAAATATGAACAAACGCAGTTTCGTTAGAAAAATTCGAACGCTGATTTCAGGGGCTGGGATCTCGGAATCCAGGAGAAGGGTCGCACCCAGGGCGTGAAACCCGAACGAGCTGTAAATCCCATGTAGTAGGGTGGAGTAGGAGACTCGGGGAAGAGGAAAGACGAAATCCTAACTCAATCACGAAAGGTTTGACTATAGTTCTTGGCGCAGAAAGATCTTTGGGGTTGGGCACCTCAAACGATCGTGTGGACTTTTTAGAAAAAGGGTTGCAGGGTTTGGATGGTCCTCGTTCTAGTATATGTTATCTTATTGTGTTATGAGAGTAGCAATGCTTGGGCTAGAATAGGGGGCCCTTCTCTCCGTAAACTGGAGGTGCGGGCCTCCCGCGTATGTGTCCGTATGGGGGGTAAGGGGGGAGGGGGGGAAGTGTCCCGGGATGGGATCGGGCCTGAGATGGGTCCCTGGGTCCGGCCCCGCTCAAGGGCTCGGCGTGCTCCGCACGCTCGGCTGCCGCGCGCGGGCAGGTGGGGCGTGGCAAGGGCGTGGAGAGCCCGAGGCCCGCGGGCCGCCGCCCAGCCCCCGCCCAGCCCTGCCCCGTCCCGTCCCGTCTCCGGAGGAGTGCCCAGCGTACGGGTATAAGAAGCCAGATCGCACGAACGACGTATGCACCTGCCCGACTCCAGCCCGGATCCCCGGGTTTCGAGCGCGATCCTGATCGGGGCCCACCGGGTTGGCCCCCAAAGGGATGCTCTCGCTCGAGTGGCGAGACCAGCCCCGCTCACCCCGTGCCGCCGCCGCGCCGCACCCGCCCACGGCCGCCGACATGGCCCTCTACTGCGGCGACAACTTTGGCGTGTACTCGCAGCCCGCCGCCGCCACCACCGGCGCGTCCGCGGTCCCCCGGGCGCCCTACAGACTGACGGACTACTCGGCGCCGCCGACGGCCGCCGCCAACCCCTACCTGTGGCTCAACGGGCCCAGCGTGAGCGCCCCGACCTCCTCCGCCGCTGCTGCCGCCGCCGCCGCCGCTGCCGCCTACTTGGGAGCCCCGCCACCGCCGCCACCCCCCGGGGCCGCGGCCGGACCCTTCTTACAGCCTTCCGCCGCGCCCGGGACCTTCGGCTGCGCGCAGCGGCCCTTCGCGCAGCCCGCGCCCGCCGCGCCCGCCTCGCCCGCGGGGCCCGCAGCTCCTGGTGAGCTGGGCTGGCTGTCCATGGCCAGCCGCGAGGACCTGATGAAGATGGTGCGGCCGCCCTACTCGTACTCGGCGCTCATCGCCATGGCCATCCAGAACGCGCCCGAGCGCAAACTCACGCTCAGCCACATCTACCAGTTCGTAGCCGACAGCTTCCCCTTCTACCAGCGCAGCAAGGCCGGCTGGCAGAACTCCATCCGCCACAACCTGTCGCTCAACGATTGCTTCAAGAAGGTGCCCCGCGACGAGGATGATCCAGGTGCGGGCGGCCGGGGCTGAGCAGGGCGCGCGCGCGCGCGGGCGGGAACGGGGCGCCAGAGCTGCTTGGAGGGTGGGTGGGTGAGAGGGAGGATTGTGGTTCCTTGCAGATCGGATGAGTTTCCCAGGAACAATCAGTCAGGGTGAGGGGAAGAGAACCGAGGAGACGATCAGATCTTTGGAAGGAGGACCCGGTGGCTAGCCAGTTAGGTTAGAGAAAAGGGACGAAGTTAGGACCACCTCGGCTGTGGATGATGTTCATCCAGCCACATGAGGACCAGACCTATGCTTGGGAGATGGCGATAGGAAGGAGTGAGGACAGGGACGAGCGTTCAGGTTTAAGCGGGAGATTGTTATAAAGAAAGTGATTCTCTTTCACAAAACCTGAGAGCAAGTCGGCCCCAGGCAGGCTGCGCCTGGGTGCATTCTCACCTCCAGGTTTGTAGGAATCTGTGGCATCCCGAGTGGAGCCGTGCTGTGCCCACTACCTGGAGAGAGGGGACTCAACGATGGGGTTATGGGCATCATGAAACCCACGAATCTCCCGGCAGAAGGCTGGGAGAACGTTGGCGGATTCTCCAACTTGTGGTTGGTGTGCCCTCATTAGAACTAAAGACCATGAATTCGCCTACGTTCTGACCTAAGCCCACTGACTTTAGGAGCCGGTCGGGCTGTGTTGCTTACCTGGCTGGGGAGGTTCACTATAAAAGAAACCGATTACTGCTGGAGGTTTGCTGAAAGAGCGCTGGACTCGGGGAAAGGGAGGGTGTTGCAGTAGGAAAATGAGAAGGGAAGTGAAACTTTTACTTCACGTTGCATAAATCTAAGGTTTTATGTAAATACTAGATAGCAATACTCGAGCATAGAAGGACTTTATATCCTTGAAGTCCTTTTGCATTTTGTTATTGTTGTCTTGAGTGTGGAACCCCAAGCCTTGTGCGTGTGCACTCAACACTAAGCTGTATCTCCAGCCTCTTGTCTAGCCACTTGGGATCGGAAGTTTTCTGGTTGCCACATTCACAAATTAAAAAGGCAGCCGTCTGCTGGTGGCTCGCACTTGTAATCCTACCTACTCTGGAGGCTGAGGTCTGAGGATCACAGTTCAAAGCCAGCCCAGGCTGGAAAGTCTGTGAGACTCTTATCTGCGATAAACTACCTCTCCCTTCAAAAAACAGAAAACAGAAAAAGTCGGAAGTGTAGCTTTGGCTCAAGTGGTAGAGCGCTAGCCTTCAGCAGGAAAAGCTCTGGGAGAGCACCCAGGTCCTGAGTTGAAGTCCCAGGACAGCTTGCTCTTGAGCTCACACACACGCTCACTCTCTCTCTCTCTCTCTCTCTATCTCACACACACACAAAGATATTGGTGACAATTTCTAAATAAAATATTTATAACAAGTTAAAATTACTATAGGATTTTTCTTGCATTATATTGGTTTTAAGTCTTCTATATATATATATATATATATTTTTTTTTTTTTTTTTTTTTTTTTTTTTTTTGTCGGTCGTGGGGCTTGAACTCTGGGCCTGGGCGCTGTCCCTCAGCTCTTCAACTCAAGGCGAGCGCTCTACCACTTGAGCTACAGCGCCACTTTAAGTCTTCAAAATAGTATTTTTACACCATTTTCTCCTTTCTTCCCTCCCTTTCTTTCTCCTTTCCTTCCTAGTTCTTTTTCCTCTGCTTGTATGAGATATGTGTCCATGCCGAACCCTCCTTCTCCTCAGCCTCCCAGTGTTAAGATTACAGGCATGAGCCATCCCAACTGCCTCTAAACGAGACATATTTCAAGTCTTCTGTGAGTAGGACATGGCATTCTAGAAGACATAACTTCCTGATTTGGGCTCTAAATCACCCAAGACTATATGTAACTTGTCATATGTACTACTTTGAGTTTAAAAAAATTCATCGATACTGGTAGCAAGAAAAAATTGTGTAGGGGGCCACTGGGAAGTGGCTCAGTGGTAGAGTGCTTGCCTTGCATGCATATGAGGCCCTGGGTTCAACCCTCAGCACCACATAAGCAGAAAAAAAATCCGGAAGTGGTGCTGTGGCTCAAGTGGTAGAGCGCTAGCCTTGAGCTGAAGAGCTGAGGGACAGGGCCCAGGCCCAGAGTTCAGGCCCCATGACCATCAAAAACAAAACAAAATGTAGCTCAGGTCTCCCAATATACATACCTAGATAGGTGCAGGTATCATTGCCTAAGTGGTAGTTTATAATTTTTCTCTGCAGTTATCTGCAGAGTGAGTGCATGCTAGTTCGTGGAGGCAGTTATCCAACAATAGTCAGAGGCCAGGCATGAGATGCACCCTTGTACTCCAAGCCCTCAGGAGGCTGAAGCAGGAGGATCACTAGTTCCAAGTCAGTCTAAGATACAGAGTGTTCTTATCTAAAACAAACAAACCCCACAATGTTTAGTTAGGAATGCTGATCAGAACCAGCCCGCTAAAATGCTGCCTGTTCATAGTAATGGTTGCATGGCACCTGCAATATGGTACCGATATTGACTTAGAAACCATCTGAGTTTCCCCATCTGAAAGCTCCATACGCTTTGTTAAAGTAACTTTCAAGCTTAAAAAAATATATAATATATATATACATACATATATATATATATATATATATTGCCAGAAGCTAAAAAAGCTAATAGGTGATAGAATCTTCCAGCTTTTCTACCTCAATTGTAGATAATGAAGGACATTTTCTAAACAGAAGTCAAGCATTACTTGAATGAAATAAGTTTCCAACATTTGCCCAGTGGACAAAAGGTGAATACCATGTGGGTGCTTAAGAGTTTCCTTGTATTGCAAATATATGCAGTTCCATGAGTTGCTAAAATTGCATTTTAATTGTTAATAATTTTTCATCATGTTGGGGTTGTCTTATTCTACTGTGATCCTCCTCCTCTACAGTGGTAGTTGTGAATTTTTAGGGAATAAGAATTGTAATACCGGCTGGTCACTCATGGCTCACACCTATAATCCTAGCTACTAGGGAGGCTGAGATCTGAGGATCAGAGTTCAAAGCCAGCCAGGGCAGCAAAGTCCTTGAGACTCATCTCCAATTAACCACCAGAAAACTGGAAGTGGCGCTGTGGCTTTAGTGGTAGAGCGCTACTTGAGCTGAAGAGCTGAGGGACAGTGCTCAGACCCAGAGTTCAAGCCCAGCGACCAACAACAAAAAAAAAAAAAAGAATTGTAATACTGTGTGTTCCCTCCTTGCTATGTGTCCTGGCAACTATGCCTAGATATCACTTGTGCTTCACAGTCATCCAACCAACTTGTCCCAGTTTTACAAGAGAAATGGTGATGAGGTTTTCAGTAACCTCAGAATTCCATGACTTTGCAAGGTCAGGCAGCCTGGATCTATCAGAGGAGAGGTGATTTAATTAGAAGTGCCTCAGGAATTGAGTTAGGGTTAAGATTAAAGTTGGAGATACTGCCTGGAGGAGTTAGAAGGGTCTAGAGCAACTTTGTTCCAGATTCCTTCTCAAGCAGATAAAAGCAAACCAAGATAAAAAAAAAAAAAGTTAAGCACCTTTCTCTGCATTTCCCAGATTTCAAAGCAAAGTTTAAGCATCCTCCCTTATACTTCCATTCTTCCTTCCTCTTTTTTTTCTCTCTCCCTCCCTCCCTCCCTCCTTCCTTCCTTTCTTGCTTGCTTGCTTGCTTTCTTTCCTTTCTATCTTTCCTTTCTTCTTTCTTTCTCTTTCTTGGAGATTGTCCTGCTCTACTATTCTCATTTTTCCACTTAGGGCGTTAACTTTGCTGAGGTCCTCCTGCCTCCATTGTCCCCAGGGCCTTAGTGTCACTTTCTGGAGTACTTAAAGTACTTAAAGTCAAAGGTCTAAATGTGTGGATGGCTCAGTGATGGAGAGGAAGCACATAAAGCCCTGAATGCAAGTCCTATACCACTTACTCCCCTCGCCCCCCGCAAAAAAAAAAAAAAAAACATAAGCAGACCATATTCACGATGCACATTCCTCCTTCCCCCCCCCCAAAAAAAAACTCCCCCCCCCCCCAAACCAGGCATAAGCAGACCATATTCATGTAGGTTTTTTGGTTTTTTTTTTTTTTTTTGGGGGGGGGATCAGTTGTGGGGCTTGAGCTCTGGGCCTGGGCACTGTCCCTGAGTTCTTCAGCTCAAGGCTAACGCTGCTCTACCACTTACCACTTGAGCCATAGTGCAACTTCTGGTTTTCTGGTGGTTTATTGGGGATAAGAGTCTCACCGACTTTCTTGCCTGGGCTGGCTTTGAACCGCAATCCTCAGATCTCAGCCTCCTGAGTAGCTAGGATTACAGGCATGAGCCAACCCCGCTCATGTAGTTTTTTTTGTTTTTTTTTTTTAATTTCTTGTTGTCCGTCATGGGCCTGAACTCTGGGCCTGGGTGCTGTCTGTCCTTCAGCATTTCAGCTCAAGGCTAGCGCTCTACCACTTGAGCCACTTCCGGCTTTTTCTGCTTATGTGGTGCTGAGGAATCAAACCCAGGGCCTTATGCATGCAAGGCAAGCGCTCTACCACTGAGCCAACCCCCCCCCCCACCTTTTTTTTTTTTTTGGTTCATGTAGTTTTTATACTTGTTAACCTCTCATTGTGCCTAGGTCAAGGCACATGGAAAACATGGACTAAAATGCTTACTTCTCTAACTTGTCCTTTCCCAGGAAAAGGTAATTACTGGACTCTGGATCCCAACTGTGAGAAAATGTTTGACAATGGGAACTTCCGTAGGAAGCGCAAGCGCCGCACAGAGGCCAACAACAGCTCCACAGTGGCTGCCAGGACACCAAAATCGGAAGAAGGGCTGACCTCAGGACTGGGAGCTGGGGTTGGGGGAAAGCCTGAGGGAGACAGTCCCTCCTCTCTGCTGAATCCTTCACAGTCCCCGGAGCCACCTGAAGGCACCAAGAGCACTGCCTCATCCCCAGGAGCCTCTGCGCTCACCTCCACCCCGTGCCTCAGCACCTTCTTTAGTAACCTCAGCACCTTGAGCAGTAATGGTGGCAATGGCAGCAGCAGTGGGAACAGCCAGCGTGTCCCATCCAGCAGCCGCCACCCCGGGATCCAAGGGGCCCCACTGCCCTCCAACAACACATACCCCACTACCAGCCTTCCCGAGGCTAACACAGATACTTTGCAGCTAAGCAATGGCCTCAGCCCTGGCAGTGGCCAGAGATCTTCCTACTATAGCCCTTTCCCTGCCAGCACCAGCGGAGGCCAAAGCAACCCCTTCAGCAGCCCCTTCTACAACTTCAGCATGGTCAACAGCCTCATCTACTCCCGGGAAGGCTCTGAGGTGTAGGCCATGTGTCCAGACTTTGCAGTGCACAGTTGAGAGATCTGGTTTCCAATGCAGATTCTGAGTCAGGAAGACTGGAGCAGCAGGGGACTGCCCATGTAATCCTGTGTCTGTTCACTACACTTGAAGTAATGAAGGTGTTCTAGAGAACTTCCACCCCAGCCAGCTTTGACAGGTTTCTCTGGAAAGAAATTCCTCTGTCTGAGACAGAAAGGAAGCCTGCAAGTTGAGGGCAGAGGTCATGTCTCTTTTGTTATGTCACTGGATACCCAGATATCATGCTTAACATGTCTAACAGGCAGCTAAAAGCCACAAGCCAATGAAATGAAGGTACTAAGTGAGAACTAAACAGCTGACTTCTGAAGCCACAAGGAGTAGTTAGGACTGTCCAGTTGAAGGCTGCTGAAGCAGCTAGTTATCTCTGACAGGTCAGCATTCTGAATTTTCTAGAAAAGCCAGATGATCTGTTTTTTGTTTTTTTGTTTTTTCTTTTTTATTTATAAGAAACCTCCAATTCTTGTCTTCAGCCTCTGGTTATGTTTTCTTAGTACTGAGAAATACTGCAAAGCCTTGAGCTATATCCAACTCACAAGTCACCTTTCCCGGACACCTGGTAGGTACTAATAGCCAAGAACTGTTCTAGACCCTTGTGTTCGCATTTAATCCTCACAGCAACCCTGGGACATAAGTATGACCCTCATTCATTTTCCACAGGAGGGCAATGAGACCCTCTGATGTTAGGTCACACGGAGAGGAAACTGTGGAGCCAGGCAGCCTGGCTGCAGAGCTGTTGCTTATGATCTTTGTGTTCTAGCTCCTAAAAACAAGTTGTGCCAGTGGCTCTCACCTATAACCCTAGCTATCCATGAGCTGAGATCTGAGGATTATGGTTCAAAGCCAATGGAGTCAGGTCCTTGTTCTGACCTCGTTAACCACCAAAAAAGCCAGAAATGGAGTTACACCTAAAGTGGTAGAACGCTAGTCTTGTGCAAAACAAAAAGCTCAGGGACAGCTCCCAAGGCCCTGAGTTCAATTCCCAGCACTGGCACTCATACACAAATGTCATTTGAGGGCTGGGAGTGTAGCTCAGCGGCAGAGCACTTGTCCAGCAAGTGCAAGGCCCTGGGTTTGATCCCCAGCACCACAAGGAAACTAGAAACCCTAATAAATTACATGTATTTTTTTAAGTCATTTGAGATGTTCTGAGCAGCAGAGGTCAATGCTATCTCCTTCTTAGTCCTGCTGACAAAGTTTAGAATTATTGTCTTAGTTTACGATGATGATCCTGGAATCTTGTCCTCCTTAGATTGTATCATTTTCTAGCAAAATACTAGAATTTTATTAAGCATAGTTTTAAATGGAAATTTTATAGCTTTTAATAAGACCATTTGTGGTCAGTTTTGTTTTTTTACTATGTAAGTTTTATTTATTAGCACTCCTATTTCTCAGAGATACCCCCATTTGAATAGTTTTTTTGGGTCACCCAGTACCCAGCAGAGAACTTAATAGTTTGTTGAATGGCAATTTAATCCAAAAGTACTAATTAAATATGGGAATGGAGGGGTTCTGGTGGCTGAAGCCTGTAATCCTAACTACTCAGGAGGCTGGTTCAAACAAAGCCAGCCCCATCCTTGACTATATCCAATTAATCAGCAAGATGCAGAACTGGAGTCATGGCTGGCTCAAGAACCAGTTGTGAGCCACAAGTTTGAGAGGGAGTTTGAGACCTTGCCTTCAAGTCCAGGTATTAGCACAAATTTTTCTTTTAGTAATGGGAATGATTGTTGAATTTATGGAAGCTGACTTCATTAAAACAAAGGTATTCTTCTAGGAGATGCATTTATACCATGCTTTTGAGCCAATGTGCGTGGTTAGTTTGGGGATTTAATTTTTTTAGAATCACATGTAGATTGTTTAAAAGAAAACTTTCTTATATGTCCTTTTTAAGGAACTTGTAGCATTGCTTTAATTTTTTCTTTTGAAGTATACAAATGGAAAGCCATTTCTTACTGGCTTATTAAGGTATTTAAATCACCAATGCTTTTTAACATTATGCAGAACAAACCAAAGAGTCTACTTATCCTGATACTTTGTGTACAAGAAAAATTTTGTGTGGATATTTTTGTATGAAAAACCATGGGCTTTTATAAATATTGTTTCTAATGCAATTCTGTTTGTATATTAATTTATAATGTGAACTGGGGCAGCAAAGACAGCAGGATTTTTTGTTTTTTGTTGTATTTTGTGTGTGTGTGCTAAAAAGAATCCATGAAATAAACTTTTAAGTGGGATGACTTCTGGTCTCTGGACCATTACTTACTGTCTTTTTGACATCAACTGCTTTGTCCTAAAAGAACAGAAAATGGGCATCGAAGCCACTGCAGGGAATTTGTTGAGAGCAATTGAATGAAATGGTCATTCTTTGCAGAGAATCTGCAGGCATATAATAGCTATTCTGTTAATGAGCTCATGGGGACACAGGCAGCCTATCATTTCTAAGGAAATAGCTAGTAACTTGAACTTGGCCCAATCTAGAAAAACCAAATAACAACCAGGATTTCTCAGCCTTAGCATTATTGATCTTTGGGGTTGGATGACTGTGTAGGCCATCTTATGCATCACAGGATGCTTAGCAATATCCCAGTAGATATCACCTCTACCCACAGTATGCCATACATGGCCAGATGTTCTCTATAAGATAAGTGCTTAGATGAAGACAAAACCAACCCACAGATCTAGGCTAACACCCACAATTTGCCCACAAGGAAAGAGCCCTCTCCCTGCCCCACAATCCTAGGCCCGAGTTAAGTCCTGACTAAATTGGCCTTTGAGCTTCCGGTGCAAGATGGTTTCTGCTATGCTATGTTTTTTTGTTTTTGTTTTAATCTTGAAAGGAAACAGTTGTGAGCAGGAACAACCCAATAAGACATTTCTTAGAACTAAGATGGGCTGCTTTGCCTCCAACACATTGGAGGTACAATTCAATATTCCATTCCTGATTATAGGGTATCTTCCTCGGGCTGGGATAATTCTGACTAAAGCTTTTAGTGGAGAGGGATGGGAACAGGCATGGAGATTTCTTGGGAAGACAAAAATGATTAAAATGAGTTTGAAAAGTGGACTAGTGACTACTAGGTAGTAGTGACTAGCACTAGTCCAGTGATCACACTTAGCTACTCAAGAGGCTGAGATCTGAGGATCCAGGTTCAAAGCTGAGCAGGAAAGTCCATGAGACTTATCTCCAATTAACCACCAAAAAAGCCAGAAGTGGATCTGTGGCTCAAGTGGTAAATCACTAGCCTTGAGCCAAACAGCTCTGGGGCAGCGCCCAGGCCAAGTTCAAGCACCAGGACTACCACAAAGTTGGATGTGAAAGTACTGTATCTGGGCAGTTGATATGAAAGTGGTTCCATTTATGAAAACAAAGGTGAAGAGAATCTATTGTCCAACATCGGACAGTGCCAAAGGTCAACAGTTGGGTTCAGTTCCCATTCCTACAGCTAAAGAAGTGATGTTGTGGCAAATATATCAGGCCCTGGCTCCTGCTAGACATCAGCTTAGAGAGCTGGGCCCAGGATGCCTCTGGTCAGTCTTCATCAACACCTAATTACCAACAACTTCCTGGATCTCTGACAATTTTCTACCACCAGATCAGAGATTCTCGAACTGAGCTCAGTTGCACCTTCTATTGTTTGGGACAGTGCAGAGGACCAGCTATGGTCCTGTGGCACATAGCTAGGAGATTCCCTAGGTCTAGACATATAGGAGGAGGGGCGGGGGCAGAGGGGAGCTGAAGTAGAGGTGCAGCCCAGGGGGAGGCCAACTAGGTACATACCTGACTTCAAGCACCTACCCTCTAGCCATCTAGGATCTGATGTACTGTTCAGAGTACAACAGGGACAATGGTAAATTTGAGAAACAGGTTTCTGGCTTCCCTTATAATTTTAGATCATCCTTTCCCTTCCATTCCCTTCTTTGCTTTCCTTTCCCTGTGTCCCAGTATTGGGGCTTGAAACTCAGGGCTTAGCACTGTCCTTAAGCTTTTTTGGCTCAAGGCTGGCACTCTATACTACCTGAGCCACAGTTCCACTTCTAGCTCTTTGGTAGTTCAGACTTGAACTCAGGGCGTGGGCCCTGTGCGTGAGCTCTTTTGCTCAAGGCTAGTGCTCAACCTTGAGCCCTAGGGCCACTTCTGTTTTTTGTTTTTTTGGTTTTTTTTTTTTTTTTTTTTTTTGAGTGGTTAATTGGAGATAAGAGTCTCTCTGGATTTTTCTGCCTGGACTGGCTTTGAAAGACAATTCTCAGATCTCAGCCTTCGGAGTAGCTAGGATTATAGGTAAGAGCCTCCAGCACCCAGCTAAATCCCAGCCTTTTGAATAGCTAGGATTACAGGCCGCTGGTGCTTGGCTTCTGTAGCACTCTTGGACTTTCTAAAAGGTAATTGGGAGCCCAGAGAGTCCCATATTCTTTGCCATTCTCCCTCCCGCTGGGCCCTTCCGAGTCCATCTTAGGGCAAATGAGGCCAGGCTCTGGCCACAAGGAACTGTGCTTGAACTTCAGAGACTCACAAACTGCTTTTCTACCTTCGGAGATTTCTCAGGATTTGGAAAGCCCCTGTCTACAGTGTCTGATTAGTTGTTGTTTTCTTTCTCTTTCTCTAAACGCTTAGAGGTGTTCATGGAAAGGGGCGGGAGTGGGGGGGAACTATCTTGGTATGGGACTTCTGCTAGTTCTGCAATAGAAACTAGGAAGCCGGCCTTGCCTTTGCCATCAGAAGCCATTGGACATATGGAATTGAAGGAAAAAAGGGATCTCCTGTCAGTTTGAAAAGCAAAAATAATAAAATGGTCAGAAAAAACTACCTACCTACAAATTCCTCTCCAAGAGACATGGAGAAGAGTGTTTTTAGGGGCTGGGAAGGTGGCTCAGCGGTAGAGCACTTGCCTTGCATGCCTGAGGCCCTGGGTTCAATTCCTCAGCACCACATAAGCAAAAAGAAAAAAGCCAGAAGTGGTGCTGTGGCTCAAGTGGTAG